TAGGTTTCCAGCCCTTTTCAAGATCTCAAGTCAGGTCGACCCCAGCGTTCCGTAATGGCAAGGCGGGATACATGTCTCTTACGGATTGTTTTGGTGTTTGCTGAATAGATTGACAAACTTCCAACAACGTTATATAAAGCTCCAGACGAGACGAGCCCCCGCCACCCAGCCGCTATAAGACAGAACAGCGTGTCCAGATATATCCGCATCATCAACATTTGTTTGTTTTATTTCAATATGACAGGAGCGGTGGGGTATCCTAGTGGTTGAAGCGTTGGCTCGTCACGCCGCCAGTCTGTAAAACAACCGAGACAAGGCAAGTGATTGATATTATGAAGAGCGACCCATCCCATCGGTGTACGCCATCAACCAAGTCACCGAACCTTGTCACCAGATTCATTTAATTAGTTTGTTTGTTTATTTGTTGTTTAACGCCGCACTCAGCAACATTCCAGCTCTTTGACGGCGGTCTTTAAATAATTGTGTCTGGACCAGACAATCCAGTGATTGACATTATGAACATCGATCCACGCTATTGGGATCGATGACATGCATCAACCAAGTCAGCGAGCCTGACCCCGTTAGTCGCCTCTTACGACAAGCATAGTCGCCTTTCATGGCAGGCATGGGTTGCTGAAGACCTCTTCTACCCCGGATCTTCACGGGTCCCAACATCTAGAACGTGTTGTATATAGACCAGTTTGGCCATGTGGTTAACACCAACATCTAGAACGTGTTGTATATAGACCAGTTTGGCCATGTGGTTAACACCAACATCTAGAACGTGTTGTATATAGACCAGTTTGGCCACGTGGTTAACACCAACATCTAGAACGTGTTGTATATAGACCAGTTTGGCCATGTGGTTAACACCAACATTTAGAACGTGTTGTATATAGACCAGTTTGGCCACGTGATTAACACCAACATTTAGAACGTGTTGTATATATACCAGTTTGGCCATGTGGTTTACACCAACATTTAGAACGTGTTGTATATATACCAGTTTGGCCATGTGGTTACCACCAACATTTAGAACGTGTTGTATATATACCAGTTTGGCCATGTGGTTAACACCAACATTTAGAACGTGTTGTATATATACCAGTTTGGCCATGTGGTTACCACCAACATTTAGAACGTGTTGTATATATACCAGTTTGGCCATGTGGTTAACACCAACATTTAGAACGTGTTGTATATAGACCAGTTTGGCCATGTGGTTAACACCAACATTTAGAACGTGTTGTATATATACCAGTTTGGCCACGTGGTTAACACCAACATTTAGAACGTGTTGTATATAGACCAGTTTGGTCATGTGGTTAACACCAACATCTAGAACGTGTTGTATATCTGAATGTTCATGCATTTCATCGTATCCCAGTTGCGTGGATCGATGCCCATGATGCCAATCACTGTATTGTCTGGTCCAGACTCGATTATTTACAGACCGCCGTCATATAGCTGGAATATTGCTGAGTGCAGTGTTAAACAACAAAACAAATCTTATCTGCCTAACGCCGCACCCAGCAATGCTCCTGCTGCATGGCGGCAGCCAGGAAACGATCGAATAAAAACAACATACCGACAATTTCTACCTTTTTAATAGCGTCTCTTGTGACAGGAATATCATTTGTGAAACTACACACAAAACATAATATACACTAATAACCTGAAAAAAGTAAAGGGAGAAAATATATCGTCCAGTGGCAACTGCCCAAGTTAAACGTTCGGCGGTGTTTAAACATGGTATTTCACAGCCATCCCGTTTAAAACGATAACAAGCACATCTAAACTGGGCCTGTTGCTCTGTAACTCCAGGCAGGGAATTACTGTCAAGAGGCAATAATATACCATGGATCACTGCGGATGGAGAACTATGCCCATGTCTATAAACATTTTTGGTTCCAAAAGTTATCTGTGAATGCCAGGATATAATATGTCCCCAAAACTCACTGCAGAATAAATCTGTAGCGAAAAATAGTTTTACAAAAATGGAGCCCTTGTTATTCTGGTTCAATGTATTTTCATGAAATCTGCATTCTTTCAAGAACAGGAAAGTTTGGTTTGGGGGATGTTCATAACAGTTTTATTTATAAAAGAATAAGGTTCGGATTTTTAATTTCGAAATTTCTCAAAGTATCCGTCAAATCAATTGTTTGAAATCGGTTGCGCGTATTGAATATTATAGCCAATTTTATTTACCACTGTTCTAAAACGTGTTTTCATACTTAAACTAAACCCTGTATGTAAATGAGATGTTTTCGCATGGGATTGGCTGATTTTGTAGGCCAACGTCACTACTGATAATAATATATGTACACAAACACCTTATTATACCCTAGCTTCAGTTTGTAAATATAGATTAAATATCTATATATGGTTTACTCTAACGTGTTTCTGACATCCATTAACCTATGTCTTCATGTATTTTAATCTTGATACTCATAATTACAATCAGTAGATGTTACAATATTACACCTTTCCATAATTGATCAAAGCTATAAAACGATTTGCTATAGTCCATAGTCTGTGGTCTATTGTATAGTAACAACAGACTTCAACAGACCTCAATCCTTTAACATATGCTTATTAGTCCTGCACAGCTGCTGTGTTGACTTTACTTGGCCTTTAACGCCTGTCTAGATAACAACTGTCTTTTCTTTGACGCCTGTCTAGATAAAAACTGTTTATTCTTTAACGTCTGTCTAGATAACAACTATTTATTCTTTAACGTCTGTCTAGATAACAACTGTTTATTCTTTAACGTCTGTCTAGATAACAACTATTTATTCTTTAACGTCTGTCTAGATAACAACTGTTATTCTTTAACGTCTGTCTAGATAACAACTGTTATTCTTTAACGTCTGTCTAGATAACAACTGTTTATTCTTTAACGTCTGTCTAGATAACAACTGTTTATTCTTTAACGTCTGTCTAGATAACAACTGTTTTTTCTTTAACGTCTGTCTAGATAACAACTGTTTATTATAACGTCTGTCATACAAGAGATGTTCATTTAACAATGATATGTATCTGTTTGGTTTGCAGTTTGAATGCTTGGAATTTGGTATTTGCCTTTGTTTGACAAATTATGCTAAACTGAGTTATAAATTACATGTAATTATTGACCAGTGTGTGTAAACTCGCAACATCTTGCTGATAATATTCATCTTAGAATATCTTGTCCTGTAGCCTTCACAACACGGGTGGCTCAGTCGTCTGAGGCGCCGCGATTCGCTGTGCAGAGTTGCGTCCCTTGGGCACGCCAGAAACCTATGATTGTGGGTTCTAATCCCGGTTGGCCCCGATTATGTTTCTAGGTTTGTCAGCACCATACCCGTGCTCGTGGGTTTCACCGAGGTGGTAAACGTATGAGACCTGCATCACTTCGGGCTTTCCTCCCACATTAAGCTGACACGCCGTGATATAACTGTAATACTCTTAAAAGCGGCGTTAAACCCAACTCTCTCACATTAAAAGCGACAAAACTCTTTCCTTAATCATAAGAAATCTCTACTGAGCACAGTGTCTATTGTACGACCAAATCTTTATCATATCCATGTATTTATGAATCATTCTACCATGACATTTTTTAATCATGCATTCTGATTGGTCCGCCAGAGGTATCGAATCTTTGTTAGACTATTATTTTTTTGTTTTTGTGACCATGGCTAGAATCTTCAAGAACGTTATCCAGCTACATAACCTTTCTACAAAATATGCAGGTGGTTGCACCTTGTTAAGCGACATGCGAAGTCCGCCTGCAGGTTTTATTACAGATAATTTCATATTACTAAATGTGAATATAAACATATTATGTTAATGGAAATTGTTTTCATTATATATAAAGCTGCACAAGAGAATGGATTTTATATTGCTTTCTGTCATGGAAACACATATCCACTATTGGTTGATGCCATTATTGCGTTTCAGAATGATGTCATTTCTGTTTGAGTACTTGTGATTTGCTCCTCCGTGGTCTAGTGGTACAGCGTCCGCCCGGAAAGAGGAAGGTCCGGGGTTCGATCCCCGGCCGCGTCATACCAAAAGACGTTAAAAGATGGTACTTGTTGTTACCCCGTCTGGCTCCAGGTATTAAGGGGCTAAAACAAGGAGTGGTCTGCTCGGAGTCAGTATACTGTGCCTGAGTGGGGTATTCATGTTCATAAACTGCATAAAATTCATAAACTGCGACATGGTATCTCAGTGAGCTAGCACTAAATAGGACTAGTACAAGCATCCACACACACTTCACACATGCACGTCGCTATATCAGTGCAATTATCTTGGGCGCGAAGTTAAACCCCATTTTACCTAACCTCATGATCCTATGTTACTTCTATTGACAAAATACCAGAACCAGATACCACCAGATCGCCTGGGACAACCTTTCATGAAGCAAGTCCTGGCACGTGGGCACAGGTGGCCAATCGGGCCATAAATCGCTGTGCAAAACTTCGAACCAGGATCCGCTAGGTACCGGGTTCGAACATCCGATTCGTCTCGAGTATGATCATTGGTCAGCACCGCAGCCATTTCACCAAAGTAGTAGATAACTTGCGCTCCTGATGGTTGCCCTACCACGAGCGAGTGAGTTTGATTAACGCTGCTTTGAACAGTATTCCAGTTATATCACGGCGCTTAATGTGGGAGGAAAGACCGAAGTGATGCAGGTCTCAGACGATTACCACTTTGGTGAAACCCACAAGCACGGGTATGGTGCTGAGAAACCTAGAGACATAATTGGGGCGAATCGGGATTCGAATCCATGATCAAAGATTTCTGGCGTGCCCAAGGGACGCAACTTTGCACAGCGAATTGCCGCGCCCTAGACGACTCGGCAACCCGGGGCCCACCCCCAGCCCCACCTACCACGAGGTGATAACTGACATACAGCGGTGTTAACCAACAACACATTCTGTCACACAATTTCGCGTGCAACCACATTAACGATATAAATAACACAACCGTAGGTTTATTTGACGTATATATTTTATTACACACCTTTACACATCTTTACAAATCAATATATCATAACATCGTATAGAAATATAAAAATTTTACAAAATCACAATTAATAATAATAGAATTCATCTTATATACAAATATACAAGAAAACAACATATCACTGAAGTTTGACAGTCGTTGCAATGTGACTGGCATATTGCCGATGCTACGTTTAATTCAATTCACTCACGGAAATATGGTTACCTTTTTCGCAGGAAATGAATTAAAAAACATGTGCAGGTGCTGCATTTGGAAATATTTCGATGAAATATGTTTCCCCTGAACCAAATCTCAGACAGGAGACTGGCAGTGTTATTGTCCATAACATTTCTACTTGAAACAATGTCATAAGGCATACAGCACTGGTATTCTCTGAAGTTCTTACACCATCATATCTCCTGCACATATACGCAATACTTTATATAAATATAGATGTTGTATGTACACTCTGGTGCTATTTACATCACCGTATGTACACTATAGACACTGAGCAGCTAGAGATATACAGCGAGATCATTGGTGACTGATGAATGGAGGCAAACAAAGACAGTTCTCCTCAATACACTATGCACATATTAAGGCTGTAACAATCTGATCACCTGTCCTCGGAATCAACTTTTAATTGTTTAGCAAAGAAAATAATTTAAGAGGAAGTTATGACAGGCGAGACCCGTGGAGATTCTGGGTGAGAATAGTTCCCCACGAACCTATGCCAGCCTTTTAATATGAATAAATGGATCGGGTGGTCTGGCTTGGTGACTAAATGCGTGTCATAGTGTCCCGACGGCGTGGGATGATGCTCATAATATCAATCACCGCTTTGTCGGATCCGGATTCGATTATTTACGCGGCTATGTAGCTAGAATATTGCTAAGTGCGGCGTTAAACAACATATATCATAAGATACCAGATAATTGCTGGTCCGTTTACCTGACTGAAATACTGTTAAAACTGCGTTAACTGCAAAGTTACTTATTCTCTGGTGAAGCAAAGACTTATCAGAACAAAATCTAAATTTGGTAAAATCTTAAACTCTAAAATCCTTGGATTTAAGAGATAAAATTCCTGTGAAATTGTTTGTCTATTTTTCAGTTCATGGACGTCAGTTGCCATTAACACCTATTCCGAGGAACTAGAGAGGAGTTTGTTACCGTCTGATGTAATGGCGTCGGCGTCAATGCATAGAATGATTCTTTTTAACTTCAGCAAGTACAAAGCATAGTCGATTGTTTTTTTACTATTGTATATGTGTTATGATGTTATGAGACCAATTAGAAGGTGACGAAAACTGTCTCCCTCTCACACAGAGTATTCGTATGCCTAGGCCACAACAAACAGATGAAAAGTTCTTTGTATAGTTTGTGAAGGAGACGGAAGGCGAATTGTGTTTAAAGGACAACATGGCGTCTTGGCGGAAGACTGATAGGATGTTGACCTTTGATAGATCTCACCATCTGTTAAAATGATCAATTGTTGAAAAGAACACAAAAAACACAGGTTATTCGCTTCCCTTGCAAATTTAGCGATTGACACGCTCCGCGGTCTGAATACCAGTGCAGGTCGCGATGATGTAATGCGTTCCAATAAAGGTATCATTACATTGAGATTCTGATCGTAAAATAGACTTGTATTAAACTTCCCATAACTGCCAATTTGCCAAAGTCTTGGCCTCTTTACAGCCGCCACTGCCAGAATCAGAATTGACATATTGAGAGGAGAATACTTGCATACGACTACTGAAGCCAATTTAAAGTATATGAAATATATTATTTCTAAAGAAATCTGTATCCGGGGAACGCCATTACTTGATTGCAGGATCTGATCACCGATAAATCTGCAACAAATCATCTTGGAAGGAACACACACTAAATGTTTCATTCAGAACACATCGGCAAAGTCCCGTTAAAGTCCGAGGTATCCAATGTCACAAGAAGGAAGTCCCGATAGCAATTGTTCGTTCTACCGGGGGTGCTTCCGGTTTAGTCTATGAGAGTATACATCACTCGGATAAGTTCGGAACATGATATACTCGACGTGAACATCTTCACGTTCACAGAGTATGCCCATTCACATCACAATCATGTCTACGGTGAAACGTCACGCCTATTATGAACACACTAGTTGTATCTCCACCAATCGTAGTACTCGAGCTTCTCGTATATCCAATCAAGGTAGCTGGTGACCCGTGTGAATACATTAGGGAAACCCCGCGCGGAGCAGTTGTTGATAAGCCATGACATGACCCCTGTCACGTGGTACCTGCCGCCGATCTCGCACATCAGAGGGCCACCCGAATCACCCTGAAAAGGAACCAGTCAGAGAGTTAGCTACCGTTACTCAGAACAGAACTATGTTGGTCAACATAAAATTAGTAAACGAGAGCAGACCTACAGCAAAATCGTCATGACATTTGTTAGTAATGTGCATGCATATCATTTTCTTACCTGCTTACCTTCATGACACGACCCGTGAAGATTCGGGGTAGAATAGGTCTTCAGCAACCCATGCTTGCCGTGAAAGGCGACAATGCTTGTCGTAAAAGGCGACTAACGGGATCGGGTGGTCAGACTCGCTGACTTGGTTGATGCATGTCCTCGATCCCAATTGCGTGGATCGATGTTCGTGATGTCAATCACTGGATTGTCTGGTCCAGACTCGATTATTTACAGACCGCGGTCATCTAGCTGGAGTATTGCTGAGTGCGGCGTTAAACAACAAACAAACAAAAACCTTCATGAGACAAGTTTGTTTGTTTTGTTTGTTTGTTGTTTAACGCCGCACTCAGAAATATTCAAGCAGTATGACGGCGGTCTGTAAATAATCGAGTCTGGACCATTCAATCGAGTGATTGATACGGGCATCGATCTACGCAATTTGGATACGATGACATGCATTTAACCAAGTCTGCAAACCTGACCACCCGATCCCGTTAGTCGCATCTTACAGCAAGCATAGTCGCGCCTTACGGCAAGCATGGGTTGCTGAAGACCTATTCCACCCCGAATCTTCTCGGGTCTCTTGAGACATGTACACGCTGATGTGTAGAATTCTATATGAATTTAGAGAATTAGAATATACTAACAAATATATTAGGTTATAGGCAACAGGCACAAGCGGCGGTTACAAATAATTGTAGCCTGCAAGGCAGCCATGATCGGTAATAATATCTTGGAATGTATTACCTGACTACATTCATATGGAATGCATGCAAATAACATTTAGATATGTTTATCATGACGATAATATATTATTTACGTTTTGTTCAAAAGTCACTTTTTATGGGCACGACTTTCCAGATATTGATATAAAATAAACATTTTTACACACCATGATGTCCCATAGAACTAAACAGTCGTACATATATTTTAATTGTGATATTAAGATGTCACTCGAAGCAATAAGCTAAGATATTGACGCGTGCCTTTTAATTGTGTTACATAAAGATATATTGCTTGCTGGGGTCCTGTGTTTCATCAGCGTTGACGTCTTCAGAAATTGGCATAAATGATGAGTTGTCATATATCACTTCATGTGTAAACTATCGTTGTTTTCTAGTAATCGTTTCCTTCCTCACTTAGTGTGGAGACATTGGCCACTCTTACACTGGTGAATAATCCCAATCTTTGGAGAAACAATGGCCTAGGTATATCACTACAACAATAGCGACATTTGTATTCAGCAGGCCAGTTGCCAGTCATTATTCAATCTGAAAGAAATCTCGATTAATACGACGATGGGAGCATCAACTAGTAATTAAAGAAGTGATGAAGATGAAAAAGCGCCACCCTAAGACACATGGTATTATCAATAAATATTTAAAATATTTAAAACGTTAAATATTTATTAATATTAATTCCTCGGTATTTGTATATTTCAAAGAAACGTTGACATTATTATATATTTTCGATAATTTTCTTTTTTAACGATTGAAAAAGGTATTCTATTTCAATAGATGGGGCCCAGTCGTTTAAGGCGCCGCAATGTGCTATGCAGAGATGCAGAAACCTATGATTGTGGGTTCGAATCCCGGTTCTGCTTGGTTATGTTTCTAGGTTTGTCAGCACCATACCCGTGCTCGTGGGTTTCACCAAAGTGGTAAACGTCTGTGACCTGCATCACTTTGGGCTTTTTCTCCCACATGGAGCTGACACGCCGTGATATAACTTAAATAATGTTATACGCGGCGTTAAACCCATTCACTCACTCACTCACTCACTCACTATTTCAATAGTTGTTTCATGTTACGGTTGGTCGTTGAACCGACTGCTTTACGTGACTTACGTAACATGCTCCGGTTTCTCCGTATCCAACACAGACTTGGTCGTCCAGCACGTGGATACCCACACGTCTCCACATGGACGAACACAGCCAGTTGGGCAGGATGTCCACACCCAGCTCGTTCATGGCGTTCTCCTGACCCCCAGAACCTGGAACAATGACAAGATGTTGTGTCACATATAGTTATAACGTTCTCCTGACTCCCAGAACCTAGAACAATAACAAGATGTTGTGTCACATAAAGTTATAACGTTCTCCTGACCCCCAGAACCTAGAACAATAACAAGATGTTGTGTCACATATAGGTATAACGTTCTCCTGACCCCCAGAACCTAGAACAATAACAAGATGTTGTGTCACATAAAGTTATAACGTTCCCCTGACCCCCAGAACCTGGATAAATAACAATATGTTGTGTCATCACTACCTTATATTATGATGTATAACAATATATTGTGTCACATATAGGTACAACGTTTCCCTGATCCCCGGAAGCTGGAGAAATAATTATTGTGTCATCATTACCTTACATTATGATGTATAACAATATATTGTGTCACATATAGGTACAACGTTCCCCTGATCCCCGGAACCTGGATAAATAACAATATTTTGTGTCATCATTACCTTATATTATGATGTATAACAATATATTGTGTCACATATAGGTACAACGTTCCCCTGATCCCCGGAAGCTGGAGAAATAATTATTGTGTCATCATTACCTCATATGATGATGTTACAGCGGCTTGGAACAGATGGGTGTTCATTTGGTTGTTATATGACACAATTAACTAGAAATGTGACTATCATATTCTTGCATACAAAATTAATATTATGCAGTAGAATCAAACATGCTCCCATTTTCCCCCGTGGAGGTCCCGTCCATATACTAGTATACACACACCGCCACCACCACCGAAGTTGCCATAGATAGTTGAAAGAGTAAAACGAGAATCGAAGGGGTAACGCATGACTGACACTGTACCATTCCAACCAGAGGGCGTTGGGCGTTGTTCATTCTGTCGACCACTGGTTTGGTTGGCCCAAACTCGAATATGTACATTCTACTGTGGTACAGCTGGAGTGTACACTGTAGAGTGGAAAAACAAACACTCACTCTAGTGTGTGTTGGGCTTGTTAGACCTACTCACCTCTAGTCTCGCCCCAGCCGCTGATCCAACACTTGGAGTTGTCAAGCAGAGACAGTTCCTCGTCCGTTGGGAGGCACGCTACACGAGCTTCGCCGGAAGTGACGTCAACAGGCTCATCAAGTTGTAACATAGCGACGTCGTTGGGAAAGTTGCTGGTTCTGATGTAGCCAGGGTGCTGTGCAGGAGAAGACAACACGTCAATACATATACAGATACGTGGACGGTTCATATCCCATCAATGATACGTAATTCAACCTCCATTGTTCAGAAGCGTCTTCTTTATGCATATTGGAATATTTAGTTTTACGTAACTTTATTACCTATGAGGGCACACATATCGGGGTTCATAAAAAAAAATCATATGTGCCCTACGGTCATATCACATCACGAGACAAAAGTGTATTGTTTACGTCATCCGGACGGCATTGTTGACGTCATTCAAATCTTATTGTGACGTGGGGTCGGAATAACGTCACACTCGAAAAGACATCATAGCTGAAGATTGTTGACGTCATTCGACAAATTGTGGTTCCGCTGCTGTTGCGACTTGCTGTCCTTATAGGTAAATACAAAGATTCGTCTCTGTATGTAATTAATAGAACGTTATATTCGCTGTCGCTCGGGAAATGCCGGAATTAGACACTCGTGTCGTAAACATAGTATGACATGAACACTCATATAATATCCTCTATATATTACATATATCAATCATAAACATTCTTGTTCACATGTATTGTCATTCATATTGTTTAAGCTTGATCTCGGCCAATACCTTGTTCTCATACAGGCACTCCGCTTATCTCGAATACAGATAACTCCACATGCTTGCGCTGGTTCCAAGACTTGGAGCTATGTGTATTTGTAATTGTTTTCGCGAACACCTGGTGTTGTCACTTATTTCCAGTGATCCATTCATGTAACTTTCACCGCTGTTTTGCCTTTTGCGCCCCTTGGAATCTGTTTCGGCAAATACTTCGAGACTGAGTATTCCCTGACGTTGGCGTAATGTTGTTGTTGTTGTTGTTGTTGTTGTTGTTGTTGTTGTTGTTGCATTAAGTGTTTAAGAGGTCGCCTTCTGCCTAAGAAATTTCGGCTGGCCTGTCCCTCTTTGGGACTCCTGTGTGTGAGTAGGGTACACATATCTATTGTGAGTTTGGTTTTCACATAATTCCTGTTTTTGTATTGATATGATTTCTATTTCCTTATATTGATATAATTTCATGTTAACCTCGCTGCTCTGTTTATATACTTTCAAGGAACTGTCCATCCCTCAGAAATAGAGTTAGTTTGGCCTTCGCTATTGCATATCTTGGCTTTAGGAGATCTATGACAGATAGCGGATCTAACTGCAATTCTTGTTTTAACCTAGCCCGGGCTGGGGCATGGTCTTGACATTCTAGTAACACGTGAGCAATGGTTTCAGCCTGATTGCCAGATGAACAAACCTTGTCATAGTGCTTTATGTGACCGAGTCTGAGGCGTGAGATAGCAATTTCAATTTTCCTTTTATTTGAGTATGAGTTTGGCTTTTGTTGGACCTTGGGTATTGGCGTAATATGTTAAGCAACTACATATACCCCCTTGTGTCTAGAAGCTACAGCGCCCCATTCCGCCCAGTGTGATGTCTCAGTATACGAAATGTATCCTCCCACCGCCTCCCATGTTGGTACAGTACTTGACAATGTTGGCAACACGGAGGACACGGAGTAGGACCCATGCACTGGTTTAACAAAGGTGTTAACAAAGAAAATATCAACCAGTTCCACATGCCGAGTATAATTGAGTTGTTTCAACAGAGATTGAGGTATTGGGCGACAGCCTACTTAAACAATCCCCACTGACCTACTGCTGTATGTGTGTTCAACACGCATTCTTTTGCGAGATATCTGAAACACTGAGTTTGTTGAGCTCTGTGTGAAGCATAGTTTATTGAGTGATAGGTGTAGACAGTTTTGTTGGTTGAGGGATACGCGTAGACAGTCTTATTGGTCCCAGGATCACCTTGGACACTGTCTTCATATCTTATGATAACGTGTTATGGCTTCAGGTGAGGTGAGGTGAAATGAGGTTTCACGTCGCGTTTAAGATTATTGTGTGTGGCTGCTTGTACTAGTCCAGACTAATGTCGATTGTATAGTGCTCGCACACTGAGATACCATGACGCAGTTTAACATGAATACCCCATCTCAGACACATATACTGACTCCTAACCGACCAGTCTTGTTTTAGCCCTTTAATGCCGAGCGCGAGACAGGGTAACAACAAGTATCATCTTTTAACCTCTTTTGGTATGACGCAGCCGGGGATCGAACCCCAGACCTACCGCTCTCCGGGCAGACGCTGTACCCCTAGACCACGGAGACGGTCTTGTTATGGCTTGAATGCCCTATAGAGTCAAATCTCTTGTCAAAAACCACGCTGTACATGTGACAGTCAGCAGCTGACGGTAGGTATAATGCCAATACTTGTTTACAGGAATGTTTATATCTTCATTTATAACTTACTGTACGTATCCTCCCCAAGTTGTCTGGAATGTTGTGCCATAATTCATACAAAGTCAAATCGTTATGCCACAACAAGGAAAGTTGAAAGCTGCAGTTCGGCCATGACGGTATACCAGATAATGAAAATCTAAACACCAAACCTCCATGTGTATCCCGCTCATACTCCTGTCACATACGTGTAAAACAACAACACCCAAATAGAATAGACGAATTCATAGAACCAAATGATTCAATTGATATAAACTTCCTAAATGTGCCAAGAGATGAGGTGGTGGTAGGGTGGCCTTGTGGTTAAAGTGTTCGCTCGTCACGCCGAAGACCCGCGTTCTATTCCCCACATGGGTACAACATGGGTACAAGCCCATTTTCCGGTATATTTTCCCCACAATATTGCTGAAATATTGCTAAAAGCGGCGTAAAACCTTACTCACTCACTCAAAGATGAAGACTTAGAACATTTTACATCATTTGTACATACGGCTGTTCTACGTGACATTTCCCAAATAATCTTGATTATCATTCACTGATGGCTCCAATTTAAAGCTGAGGAACAGAACCCACTTGAATAGAACCGATACTCCGGGTCTGATCCACCTTGAAAGGGACCCACGTGAAAGGTTATTTATTGTGTTTGAGAATCAACAGTCGGATAATATATTTGGCATGTTGAAGAACCTTCCCTGTTCAGTTTCAAAATATCTTCCATATCGATTTATATCACAGTAACGGTTATAACGAACATTCTTATAACGAACTACGGTTATAACGAACTAAAAATGTGGTCCCTTTGAGTTCGTTATTACCGTAGTTTTCTGTATATTATATAACCCAATCCCTTTAGCTTGATTTACAACGCCTTCCTGTCCATTGAGACAATGAGCCCTCTACATACAAGTACCCTTTTACAAGACGTTACAATAAGACTTTATATATTTAAACACGACACATCCCGATCACCTGTGTCGCTTTAAGCCCGCGCTAAATCCACTGGTGTATATAAGTTGTTGTCGGGAGTCAGCACCTTCATTCAACGCCAAGGGTATTAATACGCGTGGTGTGTTTGTGCAGGGATGTATAGAGAGTACGGCGAGCTCATGTAGGGCTCCACCCATTGGCGGTGATATGGCGGAAGAGGTTCCCCGGAGAGAAGTAACACCTCCAACATCCGTCTTGTACATATAGATGCCTGCATATTTCACACCATTCGATTTTGTTTTCCATTTTGTTGAATGAAGAAGGATGTTTGACAGCACCTGAACGTCTTACTGAGAATAAGAAACTATGCTTCTTGGCAGTTTTTTTTAATTGAATCCCAAATGACACCATTTTAACACCTGGAAAATCAATTCCGTGAACAATTACACGTAAATCAAACGTTTTTTTACAACGCTACAAAGGAATTATGGATTGACACTGACGTAAAACCTCGATTTGAACTACAGAGTTATCAAAATCATGTATAGTAAGTGAGTGAGTATTGTGTTACGCCGCTTTTAGCAATATTCAAGCAATAGACACCATAAATGGGCATCACACATTGAACCCATGTATGAAATCGAACCCGGGTCTTCAGCGTGACGAGCGAACGCTTTAACCACTGGGCCATCCCATCGCCCAAAACAAATGAATAGAGGAGGAGACAACTGTACTTCTTGTTTGTGTTTACCATCACTAAGGCTGATAATAATTTACTAAAGAAGAGAACGAATAAAAGTGGGCTGTGTAGATAACCTGGTTCTAGGCCAACTGGACACTTTAAGTAGCCATCGCATGTTACACTGGCTTTGTCCTATGTTATTGCTTATTTGGACCATATGTCCCATGCTTTTTCAGGTGAACAATTTACTTGCATTTGCATGTGTTTGTGATGGTGCCACGGCTGGGAAAGGATCACGTTTTCGCGTACACCTGGTATCATCACTGTTTTATAGTGATTCATAAACGCATGTTCATGATATAGTCGGAATCGTAAAATGGACTCTGTTTTTAGGTGATGTTTCTTTATATGGACAATGTTCTTGTCGCTTATATTTTCACCGAGACACACATACCTTCAAGAGCTCACGTTATCGTCAGAAGATAACGACGAAAAACAAACCCACTAAGTCTTTAAGAATACAATGCATATCAGTGGAAACATTTCAAGTTTGTAATTCTGTAACAAAAATTAAATTAGGTTTAATTTAGTTTGCAAACGACATGCTCCTTCTAATATGGCAATGAATCAACCACGAATACGCATCTCCGAGCAACTAGACAATAAAACATCCCTTATCATTCTGTTTGTAGTTCTTTGTGTATAGAGTAACGACCTGTATCTCAATGCATTAACACAGGAATTCATGACTATCCCTTAAAGGTCGACTTAGTCATACGGCCGCGTGTGCAACGTTGTTGTCCAAATTGTTGAAATTTGGGTTAAACTATGAAGCTATTGATTAACAGTTTTAACTTCACCATCTACTCGTGTTAAGCGTTTGAATTCTCTTAACACACGTGTGTAAATAACAAAGATTCACCGCGATGCGTTTTATTAGAGCCGTTCAAAGAATTTAAATTATTCCGGAGATGAAAGTGTGAAGGTGATTTTGGCTCTAATCCAGGCAGTTTTTCAGCTCTTCTCCGGATGATATGAACCAGTGTTTCCAGTATTTGAAGAATTAACATCGGAACATCAACAAACATGTTCAACTGTCAAAAGTCAAAGACGGGAATTAGAAGTCAAAGGGGGGTATTTGAGGTCAAAGGTGGAGATTAGGGGAACAATGCAAGATGGAGATAACGTTGTAATGAAGGCTACTGATTCAGGCAACAATTAACACTGTGAAGCCTCGTTGTCGTCACGTGGCACCTCTGATGTGGTTATATTCCTATTTGTCCACACTTTGACGTGACAATGCTTCTGGCTTTGTGCTGACAGTAAACAAATATTTTTTCGACAAAGTGATAATGATCTGTTAATCGTTTGTCTACGTGATTGTCGTTACTACTCTTACCATAATTCATGTTTGACTTGCTTTTGCATGTGTTTGTGACGGGTGCCACCGTTGGGGCAGGATACGTTGACTTTTTTGCGGACACTTTGTGTCATCACTATTTGATAGTGATTCATATGATACAGTCGGAATAGCACCATGTACTCTCCTTTTAGCTGATATTTATTTATGATTATGGAAATAGTATTTTAATACTATTTTATCAGCCTCCTCCTCCTCCTCATCATCACCATCATAATGGGCGGTGGGGTAGCCTAGTCGTTAAAGCATTCGCTCGTCACACCGAATACCCGGGTTCGATTCCCTACATGAGTACAATGTGTGAAGCCCACTTCATTTGTCATGCTGGAATATTGCTAAAAGCGGCGTAAAACCATACTCACACATTCATCATCATATCTCGTTGGCTTCTAAGAACGGATGACCTCACTGATGGTAGAGGACATGTAATGTTAACATATTGTACTGAGGATTCTGAGGAGTGATTCCTGATTTTAGAACCAAATTATTAAGCATAAATAGAGTGACAGCTGAGTGACAACAGTGTTTGGTATGAACATAAAACCTCCTGCACCGCTGTGTTCAGAAACTCCCACACCTACCTGTTATATTCTACAGCCATTGCCAGCACACAATAGACAGGTAAGCAGTCTTAGTGTTCACCTCGTACCTTCATATAATGTGCTGCGTTTACAGGCTGTTATCTTACGTATCCGTGTCCTAAACCGTGTATGATAATGACCCCCATAAACTGTTCTGTCAGTGCATGGCACCATGTCCAAAATAGCCTCCTGTGACAGAGGCTAAGGCTATGTTACTCACACAAACAATCTACACATTCTCACCTGTGACTGACGCTAAGGCTATGTTACTCACAACAATCTACACATACTCACCTGTGACATACGCTAATGCTATGTTACTCACACTGACAATCTACACTTTCTCACCTGTGACAGACGCTAAGGCTATGTTACTCACACAAACAATCTACACATTCTCACCTGTGACTGACGCTAAGGCTATGTTACTCACAACAATCTACACATACTCACCTGTGACATACGCTAATGCTATGTTACTCACACTGACAATCTACACTTTCTCACCTGTGACAGACGCTAAGGCTATGTTACTCACACAAACAATCTACACATTCTCACCTGTGACATACGCTAAGGCTATGTTACTCAGACTGACAATCTACACTTTCTCACCTGTGACAGACGCTAAGGCTATGTTACTCAGACTGACAATCTACACTTTCTCACCTGTGACAGACGCTAAGGCTATGTTACTCAGACTGACAATCTACACTTTCTCACCTGTGACAGACGCTAAGGCTATGTTACTCACACAAACAATCTACACATTCTCACCTGTGACATACGCTAAGGCTATGTTACTCAGACTGACAATCTACACTTTCTCACCTGTGACATACGCTAAGGCTATGTTACTCAGACTGACAATCTACACTTTCTCACCTGTGACAGACGCTAAGGCTATGTTACTCAGACTGACAATCTACACTTTCTCACCTGTGACAGACGCTAAGGCTATGTTACTCACACTGACAATCTACACTTTCTCACCTGAGACAGACGCTAAGGCTATGTTACTCACACAAACAATCTACACATTCTCACCCGTGACATACGCTAAGGCTATGTTACTCAGACTGACAATCTACATTTTCTCACCTGTGACAGACGCTAAGGCTATGTTACTCAGACTGACAATCTACACTTTCTCACCTGTGACAGACGCTAAGGCTATGTTACTCAGACTGACAATCTACATTTTCTCACCTGTGACAGACGCTAAGGCTATGTTACTCAGACTGACAATCTACACATACTCACCTGTGACAGACGCTAAGGTTATGTTACTCAGACTGACAATCTACACATTTTCACCTGTGACAGACGCTAAGGTTATGTTACTCACACTGACAATCTACACTTTCTCACCTGTGACAGACGCTAAGGTTATGTTACTCACAACAATCTACACATACTCACCTGTGACAGACGCTAAGGTTATGTTACTCAGACTGACAATCTACACATACTCACCTATGACAGACGCTAAGGTTATGTTACTCAGACTGACAATCTACACATACTCACCTGTGACAGACGTTAAGGTTACGTTATTCACACTGACAATCTACACATACTCACCTGTGACAGACGCTAAGGTTATGTTACTCAAACTGATAATCTATACATACTCACCTGTTACAGACGTGAAAGCTATGCTACTCACACTGAAAATCTACACATACTCACCTGTGACAGACGCTAAGGTTATGTTACTCACACTGACAATCTACACATACTCACCTGTAACAGACGCTAAGGTTATGCTACTCACACTGACAATCTACACATACTCACCTGTGACAGACGCTAAGGTTATATTACTCAAACTGACAATCTACACATACTCACCTGTAACAGACGCTAAGGTTATGCTACTCACACTGACAATCTACACATACTCACCTGTGACAGACGCTAAGGTTGTGTTACTCACACTGACAATCTACACATACTCACCTGTGACAGACGCTAAGGTTATATTACTCACACTGACAATCTACACATACTCACCTGTGACAGACGCTAAGGTTATATTACTCAAACTGACAAATCTACACACACTCCCCTGTGACAGATGTTAAGGCTTTGACGCTCACACATACTCACCTGTGACAGACGCTAAGGTTATATTACTCACACTGACAATCTACACATACTCACCTGTAACAGACGCTAAGGTTATATTACTAACACTGACAATCTACACATACTCACCTGTGACAGACGCTAAGGTTATATTACTCACACTTACAATCTACACATACTCACCTGTAACAGACGCTAAGGTTATGTTACTAACACTGACAATCTACACATACTCACCTGTGACAGACGCTAAGGTTATGTTACTCATACTGACAATCTACACATACTCACCTGTGACAGACGCTAAGGTTATGTTACTCACACTGACAATCCTGGCAATCCTCCTGTACATCTCCCTTCCTGATTCCACTTCCAGGTTGTCCTCGGACAGAACCACTCGCCAGTTCCTGATGTCTCCATAGAACTGACTGTAAGTACAACACAGACAACAGTTAATACACTTCTTAATTTAAAGATGTTATATATTTGCCTCGGCTACAGACTGTCGAAACAGTAACACGTGTACCCTGTACAGAATTGCGTCCCTTTGATGTGCCATATTCTATTATTCGTGGATGCGAGTCTAAGATTCGCCCTGATTATAATACTTCGTTTGTCTGCAGTATTCCAGCAGTTCCAGCCTTTGGTGCCCACATTTCACAACCTTGGAGGTGCAATCGTGCAGGCTCTTTCTACGAAGATTACAAAGAGCGTCGTACGAATTTTGCTCAAAAGCTGTTTGATCAAGGTAACAACACTCAAAGCCCCAGAAAACCTTTCAAAAAGTAGTCATGTGGTAGTTTCGTTGTAGTCAGAGAAACGTGACGTCATATCAGCGCATTGTCGAGAACAATTGAAGAATAGCCAAACCATTGTTCACTGGAAATTTATTTCATTTTGAATTACTGGGAATTATAATGCCTTGTGAAAAATGTATTCGTGCCTCAGTCAAAATAAAAATCAGATATTCAAATTAAATTGAAACGGCATTTATTATGACAAGCAGACCCTCGAATTAACATATTTTTCATACCACATGGTCATAACAAGGTGTACAGTTGTACCAGAGTGAGTGAGTGAGTTGGGTTTAACGCCGCATTTAACATTATTCCAGTTACATTATGGCGTGTCAGCTTAATGTGGGAGGAAAGCCCGAAGTGATGCAGGTCTCAGACGTTTACCACTTCGGTGAAACCCACGAGCACGGGTATGGTGTTGACAAACCTAGAATCATAATCGGGGCGAACCGGGATTCGAACCCACAATCATAGGTTTCTGGGGTGCCCAATGGACGCAACTCTGCACAGCGAATCGCGGCGCCTAAGACGACTGGGCACACTGGGAAACACACAATTTACATACATGCCTTGTATCTGTCCCCTGTTTTCACTGGAACCCCGTTCTAAATGATATCCCTTGATTTAATCATGTCAGGATCAACGAATTATTGGCATGTAGCAAGGTTATGTATGTACATAGGCATTTCTCAGAGTTGTCCATAAAGCAAGGGTTCCGGATTAACGGGGGTTTCGTTGTCATATCGTTACCAGAGGAGGATCATGTAATTGACGTACCGAGGGTGGATAATTACAAACATTAATGTAAAACAAAATGTTTAGAAGACCAGATGTCGGTACATATTGATCAACCATGGTCTATAGATTATTGATGACCCGCTGGATATTGATGGAATATTGGTAAAAGCGGCGTAAAACCATACTCATTCACTATTGCTGATCATTAACTTGGTAGGTATCCATCCACCCGTACGTCTTCGTTGTCCATATTTGTCAACAGTATTTTTTATATATCGTAAAAAAACGGATAGAAAATAACGTACTCGACAGAAACATTTTGGCATTGACCATATAAGATTGCCATTGTTTTGTGCGAATTTCAATGTACTAGTCAAGCTTAATAGGAATACGCCAAGCACCGCGTGTCAACTCTATGGCTATCTTTACAAACACGGCCAGGTCCAGTCTCTTTACCATGGACTCAACGTGGAGCAGAATGACGTCATATGCCCAGTAGAAACAGCAAAGACCGTTACAAATATCACACTTTTTAATCATGTGGAACACGACTCTTGACAAACTATTATAATAAACCTCCTACGTGTTTGTGTAACCCCGTGATGGATTTTTTAAAAGATTGGATTCCCCCTAAAATGGCATTATTTTAAATGTAATCCCTTGTCATCTGGTTTATAATGATTGTAAACCCTCCTACGAGGAGTTACTAATAAGTCTTTACTTATAAAATGGTCACTTGGTGTTTCCAACGTCCAGTGTTCAAAATCGAAGACAAGAAATGAACATGTTCATTATGGATTACCGTAATGCAACCTACAACCTCACGTATTGTGTGTAGTTTTGTAAACCACTGTTTTCCCACTGGACCACAGGGGCGAATGATGAAAAGTTGTTCAGTTTTACATGTCATGAATCCAGTTGGCCCATGCTGCACGTGCTTGTATATCTCGCACGCTTTGATCGAATTCCCTTGATACCGCGACACACTGTATTGTTTCACTATAAGGTATCTTGACATTGGACCCCTCCTGTCAGGGTTTACAATCTCAAGTAATCCCAAGGAGAAGTAACCCGTGAAGATCCGGGGTAGAATAGGTCTTCAGCAACCCATGCTTGTAAAAGGCGACTATGCTTGCCGTAAAAGGCGACTCTGCTTGTCGTAAAAGGCGACTAACGGGATCGGGTGGTCAGGCTCGCTGACTTGGTTGATGCATGCCATAGATCCAAATTGCGTGGATCGATGCTCATGATATCAATCACTGGATTGTCTGGTCCAGACTCAATTATTACACACCTCGTCATATAGCTGGAATATTGCTGAGTGCGGCGTTAAACAACAAACTCACTCACTCACTCACTCACCCTAGGAGACGTGGTTTCTCCTTTACATGAATGACCAACCACTGCACAACAGCCTCAGCATAGACACATATGAGGGCATAACAAATATGACGCGACAAAAACACCTCCACGTTAAATTGCAACGATGGTCTTCATGTCTACCAACAACAGACCCGCGCCCTTAATCCAACAACAGACGGGTGATTTGTAAAATATGAAACTGAGCTAAAAACGAATCTATGAAAATATGTGTCTGCTGTGGAATTAATACTGTCACGACCATCGCTCGTGACTTAAAATGTTTTCCACGACGAAGGGGCATGAACTGGTTACACACTCGTACATGTGCACGATGTTGTGGCAATGCCGTTCATGACATGTTCTGTTCATGTGGGATTATTGCAACAGGTGTCTATATCGGTAATACATGTTAAGGCAACAGGAACCGGGGTAAAAACAAGGCAAACATAAAGAGGTTATTTGCTTTACGTCGGGATGTCGACTATTTGTAGTTTCCTTTTCAACGTCTGTCTCATCATTGAAACTAATATTGTCATCTATTGATGTGTTTACTTGAAATATAGCTTTTAAGCGCAAATATCCTTATAACACGTGGCATTGATATTTAAGACTTAATGCCAACAAATATAAGCCCAGATATTTTTCGCTATGACCATATATGCTCGCGACACGAGACACTGATCGTTAAGGCTTAATGTCTGCAAATTTATACTTCTCCATCATGAAGAGACTGTCATGAATTTCTTTTTCTTCTTCCAAAGAAGACATTTTACTAATACTAACTTGGGATGTGAGGTGAAATAAGGTTTCACCTCGCGTTCAAGATAATTGCACTTTTATAACGACGTGCATGTAAGTGTGTATGTGGCTGCTTGTACAAGTCCTGACTGATGCCGATTTTATAGTGCTAGTCCACTGAGATATCATACCGCGATTTAACATGAATACCTCACTCAGACACAATGTACTGACTCCTAACCGTCTAGTCTTGTATTAGCCCTTTAATGCCGAGCGGAATACATGGTAACAACAAGTACCATCTTTCAACGTCTTTTGGTATAACGCGACCGGGGATCGAACTCCCGACCTTCGCTCTCCTAGCGGACGCTCTATCACTAGACCACAGAGGCAGTCACTAACTTGGGGTATATATTTAATATAATATATATAATTTCAAGAGAACAATTCACGAAAATATATCATTATGATTGTCCGAAAACATGAACATATAGAATAGTCTTGAAAGGTGAAGAAGCAAATAGATTGCGAGGGGTAATCATACTCCCAGGGAAGCTGAGAATACAACATGTATATACACTGATTCGTTGACCAGTAGTAGTTGGTTGGTTGGTTTGTTGTTTAACGCCGCACTCAGCAATATTCCAGCTATATGACGGCGGTCTGAAAAATAATCGAGTCTGGACCAGTCAATCCAGTGATTGACATCATGACCATCGATCCACGCAATTGGGATACGATGACATCAATCCACCAAGTCAGCGAGCCTGACCACCCGATCCCGTAAGTTGCCTCTTACAACAAGCATAGTCGCCTTTTACGGCAAGCATGGGTTGCTGAAGACCTATTCTACCCCGGATCTTCACGGGTCAGTAGTAGTAGTAGCAGCAACAACATCATGTAAACCTAACACGAGTACACGTTTGAGGCATGCAGGGGATCTACGATGAGCCTATTACTGCAGATTGTTTTTAAAGCATGAACATGACATACGTCTAGGAATTAAGGAAGCTCGTGCTTATGTTCTTTTCAAAGAAATGAACTGCGACGTTTTTCACGTAAAGCAGATATGATATTATGGTGTTTTTTTTAGATACGATCTTTGACGGTTTTCACGTTAAATAACCTAGGAAGCTAGTGCATCTGTTCTGATATGATCAGCGACGTTTTTCACGTTGAATTACTCAGGAATCTTTTGCAAAGAAATTAACTGTGACGTTTTTCACGTTCAGTAGATATGATCTGCGACGTTTTTATAAGTAGATATAATATGCGTCGTTTTTCAAGTCTCGTAGATATGATCTGTGACGTTTTTCATGTTAACTAGATAAAATCTGCGACGCTTTTCACGACAAAGCACATAGTGTAACACCTTGTAATCTAGGTATAGTGTCACGCGTTGGTGTAGAATCCTCTCGAAACACTCCGTATCCCCCCTCGAATCATCAATAAGGGGACATATTTATATGTTGCAAGTTAACTTCCTTGAAACTGCGTTGTTTCTTTGTTGAAGAATGGTGTAAATATGTTTACAAATGTATGCAAAAGATTGAGACCCTTTCATGTTGAGGTCCTTTAAGCTCCATTTTTGACAAAATCGATCACTCTCAGGAAAAGGCTGCAGCGTTGCAAGATTATCTGAAACTACCCTCAACCTGCACAGCAGGAAACACGAAATCCGGAACTCGGAAATAAACGAAAGCGAACCAAACCTCTGGGTTAAAGACCATATTTACTTTATGCTGAACATTGTTGAGTGTTTGGAGTGCGAGAAAGGTGCAGATGAGGACTAT